GAAAGAGTGATCTCTGAATTACCACAAGTATTTCGCCTCCATTTTATAAAATTGGTATTTTGATTAAACGTGCTTCACTCTGATGACTCCCACAAAGAGAAAGGAACGGAAAGTGTCAGCTGAGCACTTCATTCTGGGGTTAGCAACCACCCCTCAAAAATTAAAGTCTTCCAAAGTTTTTTTACAAGGTAAATTAGATATATCTGCTCCTTTCCAGTTTTTTTTTTTCATTGTCATTCATGTGAAAAGGTGTCACTATAATCACGCTGGCTTCTTCCTGCCACTTACTGTTACTGACATCATACTATCTTTTGGATTTCTCAGGAAAAAGATGAGATAAAAGGCAGTTTCCTTGGCAGGGGGAATTTTCATTTTCCATATTAATACCACATTATAATCAAATCGTTTCAATGAAGTTTTGATCCTAAGCCTGGAAGAACAAAAACACCCTTTAAAAATGCCTCTCTAGAGACACAGCCCAGAAAAAACATCATCTTCCTACTCTGTTACACATATTCTGTGTTTACCTCCCCTTCCACAGAGTGTCAATCAAGACTAATGACTTCCAAACTTACAGAATTAATAAGGAGAATTAAGCTATATATGTTAACCAGTAAACTTAAACTTACACAATTCCCAAGCTCCCCTTGGGAGAAATGTGAAGGGAAGCCAGGTGCAAACGGCTTCCTGCTTCATCCTAGGTGCAGGCCACCACCACCTGAGCTCTCGACGTCTGGGGGGTCATTTCATCGAAACCTCTGTTTGCTCAAGTGCATAGCGAGAAGAAAATGGGTGGCCCACTGCTGCCATGTACTCGCTTCAGAAAAGCTGAATTCCCGTGCCCCCACCCCCCCCCAAAGGAAGCACAGAGCGCTGGCCTCGGCATTAGAAGATGTCACCCTGCCTGTGTGGCATTGTATTAGTTACTTAACATTTCTGGGCCTTCAGGTTCCCATCCATGAATGAAGCGGGTAGCTTAGACCCCGTGGGCACAAACCCTAAGGTACCACTGAGGTTCTGCCAGGGCTACAGGGACGGTCCACAGACTGGCAAACATACGTCTAGCACTTACATACGCTTTTTTCCAAACATCAGGAAAGTTCAGATTAATGCAAAGTGTTACTGATATCAAATACCTTTTTGTCATCATGGATCTTCTTACTCAAAAGATACCAATAAAAGATATGATCTCACTTCTGTGTGGAATCTAAAAAACAAAAACAAGCTCACAGATACACAGACCAGATGTGTGGTTGCCAGAGCGGGGACGTGGGTGGGAGAAATGGGTAGAGGGGTCAAAGGTACAAACTTCCAGTTATAAAATGAAGTCCTGTGATGTTCACCATGGTGACTGTAGTTAATAATAATACAGTACTGCACACTTCAAAGTTGCTAAGAGAGTAGGTCTTGCAAATCTTCATCGTAAGAAAAAAAACTTTGTAAACATATCAAATATTGATACATATGAATCATCATGTCCTATACCTGTAACTAATGTAACTTTGTATGTCAATTATACCTCAGTTTTTTAAAAAAGACACTACTAGTTTAACTAGCATTATATAGGGGTCTTGGAAGGTTTTTTTGACATTTAAAAGAGGGTCCCTATATACTCAGAAGAATTAGGAAGCCAGGGGTCTGGAATCTAGATAACCCCTAAAGCTCCTCTATAGGGATGGACACAGAGTCATCCCTGAGACAGCAGCCCAGCCACCGTCAATGTCAGTGAGGAGAAAGGGTTATGCCCACCCAAGTCCAGACATTATCACTTATTTTTTAAAATTAATCTTCTTTAAGTCTTAAAACAGAAAAATAGAATTTGCATTTAGTCAATTAGCACCAAACATTTCTATTACATCCAAGGCTACCTAAACATTTACTTCTCTGTGACCCAAAATCCCTTCAAAAGACAAGACCGAGTGGATAGTTTACAGCCAGTCATAGTTATTCAGACTTAAAGCCCATCTTTACATGTATTATGATGGTAGTGATACTAAATGCCTTTTAAAAACCATTTAATACATTCTCCGACTTTTATGGTACATCGAATTATAGGCTTACTCTCGTGAAAGAAAACTGTCTACATTCTAACACGGCTACATGTAAAATGAATAATTGATAAGTAAGGGGCAAAGAGCTTTGAAAACCTAGAGGTATCACATGGATAGTAAAAAATAATGCACACAGAAAATCAGTGCCCTGAAACTCAGCAGTCATTCAATAGAAAACAATCAGTGGAGCTGGACAAATGCCTGTGTGGGTTTTTTTTTTTTTTTTTTTTAATTCCTTCTGGAAAGGAGCTCTGAAAGGTACTCTCCAACTTGGACAAAAGGCAAGTGTCTCAGAACAAACACAATTAGCTACTGGAGAGGTTCTGGACGTGGGAAGTCGGGGGATGGTAAATGTGCTGCAAAGCCTTGGGCTTCTAGGTCACTGCCAGAAATGTGTCTGGGGCTCATGGCGATTGAAGGAGGCACAGGTCCTACGGGAGAGCCGCCCGGTAACCAGTGAGGACCCCTCTACGCCGTGCAGACCACTGGCATCGTTTTGCCACCAGCCTCAGCGTCACAGACTGACACCTCCCAGGAACTTCTCTACAGGGAAGCTCAGCGCCGGGACCCACAGCCCACTGTCCTGACTCAGTGAATACGGGCTGCGGCCCTTACACATGTCACCGTGGACCTTGAATTCATCAACCCTTTCATCTTTATATGGGACCTTGAACTGTCCTGTGAAAAAGCACCTTTGCGTGTGCCTACAAATAACGAATCATTTCCCTTCTTTCTCGTCATTGAAAGCATACAGAACCAAAAGCAGGGTGACCACGAGTTTCTCAAATACGCTGGCACATCTTTCCCGCGCTCCACTCGGCTATAAAGCTGAGGCTGAGAAGGCAGTTTTACCCTCTTTTCCCCGGGATCCGACTCTTCCTTCTCTGACAAGGGGGCGAGTTAAATGGACTAACCCGATGATGAAATCCCCTTAATCACGGAACTGTTCTATTCCCTGAGAACCCTGAGTGCTTTGTAGCTCTCCCCAGTCTCATTCCTTCTCCACCTCCAGGCACGTTTTTTTCTTTTTCTTTCAAAAACGAAGCAGCTGCCCTGAAGCAGCTTAGAAAGAAATTTATGGGCTTATTTAACATGATTAAGGTCCAGGAACATTAGTAGAAATATATAAATTAGGCTACGTGTAGACTTGGAGCTTTTCGTGTGAAAAACTCCAGAGGAAAACCTAGCAGGGAAGAGCCAATGAAACAGAAAGGGCTCACACGACACCTGACCCTTATTTCCTGAGGGCACAGCTTTCCCATTCGGATGGCCTGCATCTACGTTACTTCCAACAGAGGCAGTCTGTTCATTTCCAGACATAAATTCAGGTCCAAACGTTAAGAAAATTCAGCAACCAGCATATGCAGCCCGATGCGCCTCTTTACAGCATTAGTTGCATATTCTCCAGGGAATTAAAGGAAAAGTGAGGCTTGGCTGGTCACTCCCAGATAACCTCTGATAAGCTCTGAAGTGAGTCCCCCTGGGGCTCAGATAGCCAACAGATTATAACAAGCATCCCCCCCTAATTTAAAGATGAAAACCAGAGTTGGCCAGGCCAAAGGTCTCGCATTCCACGCGTCTGGCTCGCGGTCTGGCCAGCGGCCACTCTGGGATTGCGGCGCCCGGGGAAACAGAGGCAAGCGACTGCATCACCCTCTCCGGGTGTCCAGCTCACAGCTTGTGTCCTGCTTCCCAGAGACGAGCTTGAGCCAGATTTTCCTCCGTAGATGGAAATGCACGCTGCTTCTCATCAGAGCAAAGCCCTGGCCAATACTTGGTTAGCCGGCCTCGCTCCCAAGTAGCCAGGAAACAAATGGCAGGGCCACCGGGCCCATTTCACAGCCACCTCCCCCGGGGGCTGTGGCACTCTGCAGAGAAGCCACACGTGAGGCCCACGACAGAGCCCTGGCCCCAGGGCCAGGCTGGTGACCACTACCACGCCTCCACTTCTTGGCTCTCTTTGGCACTTAAGGGAAATTGGGGTACTTCAATAGGATTTTTTTTCTTTCCAGCTGTCGGTAACAACTGAAAAGGAAGATGATGCTTTCTGACCCTCTACCGTATTTAAGCACTCACCGAGGCTAAGACACAAGCAGAATGGAACACACAACATGCCCTACCGTAAGGGTATTTGGTATCCAGTATACTCTCCGCTGTCCTCCTCCAAGGCAAGAGGTCATCACTGCATCCATTTGGCATTCCATTGTACCCAATGCCCACGATCTTGTTTTCTGCATTCACGATGCAGGCTCCGACCTAAAGGAAAACATGCCCAAAGGCTTGGTGACTTCGGGTGGCTGGTCTGCCGGTGGAGAGGCAGAAAGTGGGGCCAGAGGCCTGCAGAGCTCCAAGATGGACACGCTACTTCTGGAGGGGCCAAGAGCTCTGTCTCCTTGGGGTACCAGAGGCAGTGAACAATGGCATGTGACAATTCACTCTCTCACAGGAGAGGTAAGCAGGCAGGAATGCAGCACAAGAGACAGTAGATTTACTCTGCTTTTTGTAAGTTGGCAGGTGTCCACTGAGCCTCTTCCTCTTGTACTTTGCTCACTTGTAGGTACCTCCGTGTCTGTGAGTGTCCAAACATTCTCCTGTAAAACTCACTTACCGGGCTTCCCTGGTGGTGCAGTGGTTGAGAGTCCGCCTGCCGATGCAGCGGACATGGGTTCGTGCCCTGGTCCAGGAGGATCCCACATGCTGCAGAGCGGCTGGGCCCGTGAGCCACGGCCGCTGAGCCTGCATGTCCGGAGCCTGTGCTCCGCAACGGGAGAGGCCACAACAGTGAGAGGCCTGCGTACCGCAAAAAAACCCAAAAAACAAAAAACAACTCACCCACCTGGGAGTTTGGATCTTTGCTCCTCTGTGCCGATAAGAAAGCCACTGCCATGAAATACTCAGGCCATTCCAAATAGTCATCACGTTTTTTACAGGGAAATTCACTCATGCTGGGTCTAGAAGAAAAACACAACAAAATAGCAGTGTACAAACACATTTTGGTCAATCTGCTCTCCAGTTCAACCCAAGCATATTTCAACTTTGGATCTCCACACTCAGACAATTTCAACTTACATTTATCAATCAGAAATCACAGCACATGAACCCCAGACGGTCTCTGGTCTTCAGAAAAAAAAAAAAATTAAGAAATTAAGTTACTATTTCAGAAGTTTGGATTCGGCTTGTATGGCTGCGCATTCCCAGATATTACATCTATTTACTGCTTTCTCATGGGATTTTTTTGCCAGTTACCACACATGCCTGCCCAACAAATCACTGTCATCCTTTACCTCTCTCCCTTATCAAATGGAGCCAGCAAAAGAGGGAAAGGGAAAGGAGAACACTTATTGATCATCTAATATATTTCAGACACTGTTGAAGGTTGTACACATCATCTCACTGAAGCCTCGTTCTGAGCTAAAGGTAACTAACATCCCTCTTAGAGAGAGGCTCAGAGAATACAGGTAACTCTCCTTAAACCACACCGGATTATTCTCCATGCCAGTTGGATTCCATTTGGAGCTGTCCCAACTGTGATATTCATGTGTGCCTTCCCTTTCGCTTAGTTTCCCCAGGTGGGACAGACGTTATCCACTGTGAGTACTGAACCAAAAGAGGAGAAATGATGAAGACTGCCAAGTGCCATGAGTAAAGCAAGATTTCGGTAACACTGCGCTCTACTCCCGGGCAGGCACAAGCGTCTCTCCAACAGGGAGAGAGCCCTGAAGGGACCCAAAGCTTCCAGTAAGGGGGTGGGGGGATCCTTTCAAGGGAGATGAAGCAAGGGCAAGGAAGGAGGGCAAGGCAGAAACCCGGTGGCTCTAGGGGAAAAGTCTCATTTTTAATGGCAAGGGCTGAAGGAAGGGGAGGCTTTCCCAACAGCTGGGCTTCGGGACCTAGCTGTGACGCTGACGCGCCCGTGCAGCACGTCGGTGCCTGCGGGGAACCTGGTCACCCACTAGGTACGCTTCCCCGATCCTCAGGGTCCTGTAAACCCTCTTAACGCGCAGCGACGCTGGACGGAACTGGTTTACCATGCGGTTTAAGGGGCAGCATCCAACACCGCTGCTGGGGGCCCGGAGGGGTGCTGGCTAGGCAGGAGGCCAGGCGAGGAAGCAGAGCGGAGGGAAGGGAACTTACTGCCGGCTTAGGGTTGGCGCTCGCTGGTGCCCTGCAGCCCCGCTGCAGAACGGACCCAGGGAGACACGGCTGGTCACCGGCCCGGCCGCAAGCCACGCTCCTCCCGCCCCTCGAGGCCAACTTCGGGACGCACCCACGCTGCCCCGCCGCCCACGTGGCAGCTCCTCTCGGACGCCCCGGAGGCCGCCGCGCGCCCCGCGAGGTAGACCAAGCGCCGCCGGCCCCGCGCCGCTTCCCCGGCAGCACGTTGGACCGGGAGGGGGCGTCCCCGCGGCCGCCCGCTGACCCGGCCGCCCCTCCGCCCCCGGCCCACGACCTGCAGGCTGGCGCCCGTCCCCGCCGCCGCCGCCGTCCCAACGTCCCGCCCGGGAAGGAAGTCGGCAGAGGAGGCGGGGCCGCCGCGTGGCCGGAAGGTGGCGGGACTCCACGCCCAGGTCGCCGGCGCTTCCTCGTCCCGGCTGGCCGGCGACCTTCCGGGCCGGCGCACGAGCGGTCGCGCCCGGGCCGCCAGCCCCCTGTGCCGTAGCGGCGCTTGGGGTTCGCCCTTGGCTTCCATCTGGCGGCCGCGAACGCGCGCCGAGGCCGCTGGGGCGGCACCTGAACGGTCGCCCCCGCCGCCCCGGGTCCTCGGACGGCACGGCTCGTGGCCGCGCCCAGGCTCCGACTTCTTCGAAACCGCTGCAGTTTCAGATCTCGGGATCTGAGGGTCGTTTCAGCGGTTGCTGGCGAGGGTTTGGGGTTTTTCCTCCCCACTTTTTTCGGGGCAGGACTAAGGGGAAGCAGTTTGGGCCCCTGGAGCGGGCCTGCGGCGTCGCCGGAGCGGCTTCACTGTTCCTCGCGGGAGGCGTTTGTTGGCCGGCAGCGAACCGGGTCGGGCGGGGAGGCGCTGCCCTCGAGGCACAAATGCCTCGAAGCTGCATTTGCATAAGCGCTGGGCTTGGCCGGCTTCGCTTCCTACGCCAGGCGTGGGGAAGAGCCTGAGACGCGTGCTGAACGGAAGCCTGCTCCCCCTTCCCAGCCCCACCACCGTGCACACCCTTTCCTGGTGCTCCCCGTAACGCTTGCCGGCTATACAATTGTGCATATTTTGTTAACGATTGTTAGAAAGATCCGAAAAACTGGGTGCAGGTCAATAGGGAAGACCTGGGGTGACACACATTTCTGAAGGCAGCTGCTCCAAGGAAAGAAATCTGATTTTCTTGAACTTTCTTATTCTCTTCAGACGTCTAGCCCCGCAGTCGCTGGAACATTGGTTACACGGCAGAGAATGAGGAAAGGACCCCTTTCTGTTTCACACGTGGGGCTTGAGGATACTGTCAGGACGCCATAAATAATAGCTACTGTAGCAATCCTGAGTTGCGATCAGCACATCCCAGATCTGAGCCTCGGATCCAAACAAAACCTTGTTAACTATATTCCTTTAGCCTAACAGAGGAAGAATGATCAGGATAAACAGTTGGTCCTATCTAATTTCTCCCTACAGCAGGCACATCATTCTTCATCTCCATGGTCCAGCCTGTAGATTCAATAATTAAATTATGTACTGCCTTCAGTGGATGCCGGGAAAGCGAAGGGGAAAAATTCTTCATCATTAACTATAGATTTTTTCTTTTTTTCTTTTTCTTTTTTTGTTTTGCCTTGCTAAGACTCAGGCTGGAAAGGGCTACATAGATTAAGGTGGTGATTTTTAATGTCAAGTTAACTTGACTTGGCTGTCTCGTTGCCACTAAAGTTTATTATATGCTGAGCCCCTGGTTCCCCTCCCCCTCCCAAATCCACTGCTTGGTCCGTGTTACCCTCATCTATAGCCTTTGAGCCTTCATAGATCCGTTTCTCTTCTTACCAACCTCCAACCTATACGTCACCAGTTGCTGCTGGTGCTTCAAGCACAACATCGTTAAGCTTTCTTCCTTCCTCTGCTCCGTAAAGACTGTCATACATAATTTAGTTACTTCTCATCATTCTCCACTTTGGTCAACTCACACACTCCCCTCTGCCATAAATTCAGGATCCTGCTTGCTACAAACACATTACCCTGAATGTTCCTGCATTTCACTGAAAGTCTCTCATCTTATTAGATGACATCATTCATAATACAGGAAACACCCCTGATTCATGGTCTCACAACTTGAGGTTTCAATTGTTCTACACCCACAGCGAACCCAGGCAGCCCAGGAGGGGAAAGAACGCCTTCCTCGGTTTATCTGGCTCATTAACACCCTGTAACTCCACGTGTAACTGTAGGTGTTAAAGCTCTCCTGTTAATACCTCGTATTCTGGTTTATAATTAAAGATCTTTCTCCACCCACCACAGACACAGAAGCTCGCTGTGTTTTCAGCCACACCAGTTGTGAGCAGAGAGGGCTTCACACGGGGTGAAGACGATCAGCTGTGTGAAGGATTTACTGCCACAGGCTTTGGCTCGGCGCCTCTACTTACCAGCCTGCAGGTTACGTGTGTCTGGTCTGTAGCACAACCTGGAATATATTCAGTACCTTGAAGGTGGCAGATCCAGGTTAAAAAGACAGAAGTCAAAGTAAGAGTCTTCTAGGGTGACCTCACATCGGGCTTTGATGGTATTCATAGATGTCTGCTCTATCAAGATACCATTCATCACCTCTCCCATCACCTCTGTTACCCAGGAAAGGATGTGATTTGCAACCCAGAAACAGAGGCAGGAAGTCTGGAAAGTCACCAATCTGTGGGTATCTAATTTGTCATGTGAAAAAGGGCACAGGCCTCGGGGTCTAACCAGACCTTGATCTCCAGGCCCACTTCTTACTACCCAAATGACCTTCAGAGTCTTTTGTTTCCTCATCTGTAAACTCAACAACATTCACGCGTTCGATGGTTTTTTAAATTAATTCTCTATGTGCTAGGTGCTGTGAATCCCAGTGACGAACAAGGTGAACAAGGGAAACCCGTGTTCTTGCCCTCCTAGAGCTTAGCACCACCGCTGCCCCACCCCAAATAAATGCTGAATCAAAGAGCCTCACTGCTGGCTTAGTTAACGCAATAAATGCTGTCATAAGGTAACTCGCCTGTCGGAATATCTTTGTTCTTAATCCCGTGATTGTCAAGACCAAAACCTTCTTTCCATAGCTCAACAGCTGCCCTTAGAGGCAAAGGACCACTTTCACTTTTTTAAAAAGAAATCTTTGTTTATGTTTCCATGCAGCAGTCCCAACTAGACTGTTTAAACCTTAAGTAAGGGGATGAGTGGACCAGAAAAGAAGTCAATGTAAATTCTAGAAAAAAAAAATACATGGTCTTGTCAATATATACATTTTTATATGTGTATTAGAGCAAGGAGTCAGTTATTCATGTTTAATGAAAGTCAGACAGACTGCAAACTGACAACATTCCTATCCCCGAAAAGTCAGGATTCCTAAACAGGATTTGGGTTATGAGTTGAGGCCCCCAATTATCTTTATTGTGACACAGCTTCAAAATGATAACGAAGATCAGTGAGGAAGTGTTAACTCGGCGTGTGCGCAGAGCTGGCTGCTTTGCGATGGTGTATCAATAAATGTTGCTGACTAAATAAAAGAATTAATAGGCAATAATTGCTTTACGCCCAATTTTTTGGAGCATCCCACGTGTCAAGAGAAGGCCTCCTCTGTAAACTCTATTATACCTCTCTATCTGCTTCCTTTTTCTCCTTGCACTTGATGGACCTGGAAAGACATTTAATGAGTTAGACACTGGAGCTGGTTGGGTCGGGAGCCGAGGGTGAGCTGAGCTGTTTTCAAGACATGTGGTATCTCAGTGCTTGGATTTGAGTCTTGGCCTAAACTAACCACCCATCTCCAGGACCGG